CTCGGTTGCTAACAAAAACCTTTGTGGTTCAAATGTACCCCGATGGTGCTGCAGAAGAAGGGGCTGGCAGTCTACTTCTGAAATTTTCCCTATTGAAACCCTGTGGATCCCAATTCTGCCCAGGCACACATGGGGGTTATCAGGAGTCAGCATTGGCTTGACAACCACTGCTGCTGCTGTTTGGATATACTACCTGGTAAAAAAAACTCTGCTGATTCTCTTTTAGGCTACAAAGATCAGAAAAATGCTTATATTTTTAATAAGCATAAGTATAATGCCTACAACGTACTGAGCAGTTAACATGTTGAATGCTCTGTGCCCATGCCTGTGACCTGCTCATATGCATTTCTCCTTAATAGACAAAAGGCTTTTCGTAAGGTCATACAGGGAGGTAAGCAAACAGTCTCAGCAAGCAAACAGCGGGTTTTGAGGAGGAGATGAAGACCATTCATCGACACGTCAGGATTCAGCAGCTTTGCTCGTCATTCCCGCAGCTCAACGACCTCACGGAATCCTGCTGCTGCATCGCGCAAGCCGCCAAGCACCCCTTCTTGCCTCGCCTCACTTTTCTCTCCTTACCTTCTGTCTCCCTTACTACTTCCATTACCTCAGGATGCTTTCTTTCATTTGCTGTTCTCTTGGTATATTTGTTCTTCTCTGCTGCTCTCTGGCCTTCGGATTCTCTCTCAGTGTCTCCCAGTTGCACTGCCGCAGGTAGAGGAGAAGGAGCCCCGTTGGCTCAGTGGTTAAGTACTTGTTGCTAACCAGAGTCAGCTGTTCAAATCTACTCACCGCTCCACAGTTTGCAGCCTGGGAACTCTGTGGACAGTGCTCCGCTCTTCCATGGTGTCGCTGTGCCTCGGAACTGACCCAGCAGTGCACGCACAACGAGGAGACAGAGTGCTCACAAGTCAGGGCCTCACCTCAGAGGTCATGGCCAGCCTTAGTGATCTGACTCCAGGTCAGGCCCAAGGCCTGACCTGCTCACTCAGAACCACCTGCCAGGGTCACAGAGGACTGAGCATGAAAGTGATGTCAGACCTCTCTGAGAGAACTGTAAGAAGGACTCCTAAGACCTGGCCAAAGTGGTTGGCAGAATTCTGAAGAGATTTTTATTCTGGCTATTATGAATAATTACCATCATATGAGTAAAGCTTCAGAAAGCTTCAGCAAGTGGAAGTGTCTGCTAAGGGTAGTTCCTAGCAGTAAAAGAGCACAATAGGGGATTTAGACGTTAGTGGGGAAATCTGAGCACATTTTCCTTCCCTCGTGGTTTCCAGGGCCCTCCATTAAGCCCAGACAGACAATGGAAAGCACGCTGTAAGGTACAACAATGGACTTGGTTCCCAATATTGAATTAGCCGTGTGCATATTGTTCTTCTGTATTTGTGAAAATGTATTGACTATGTAAGAAGAGCAAATGGTAGATGTCCACAAACAGTCCATTAGCTTATCCACATGATTGAGTCACGTTTCCGTCTCTTCTGGTCCTTTAGTCATAGTGTTCCTGGTAGAGCAGGCACTCGCGGCTCACCCCTGGGATTGGTGTGTCAGGGTTAGAATGTTCGCACAGCCCCACTCTCTCAACCCCACCAATTGAAAATAGCTAATTGAAGAATCTTTTTCTGTAACTACATAGTCAAAGAGAAGTTATGTGTTATTTTTTAGATCTTTTGTTAATTAGGAGCCCTGGTGGCATTTAGTTACAAGTTAGGGGTTGATCCACAAGGTCGGCAGTTCAAAGTTCCCAGTCGCTCCTTGGGAAAGATGGGGCTTTCTACTCCTGTAAACAGCAGCAGACTCAGAAACTCACAGGGGCAGTTCTACCCTGCCCTCTAGTGTTGCTGAGTCAGCATTAACTCAATGGCAAGTGAGTAGGGCTTTGTTGGCTTTTGTTACTTAATTCTGCCTTCCAGGGGTAAAAATAATATACTGTTATTATTCAGTTTTGTATCATCCTCTCTTGTTTAAAGGTTTCCATTCACACCACATCTTTTACTAATGCAAATATAAATATCCAGGGAAAAATGAAAAACTATATCTTTGGTTTGCTTTTAAAGTTTTCGGGTTCCTCCCCTCCCCCTTTGCAAAATTTTCAGTCAAGTGAAGTCCTAATCAACATTTGGTTTTGGCCTACTTTAATCCCCCTGGTTGGACTGTCAGGCTATAGAACCTAATTGAATTGATGAAAGACTACAAAATGAAATTAAGAGAGAACTCTAAAGAGGAGTTTCAAGGAGGGGGTAATAAATCCTATCCATGAACTTTGGAAGTAGTAGAATTTTGTTTAGAAGTGACCTTCTGTCCTCTAACTTTCATGAGCACACTGAGCCTGGAAAGATTAAATGCCTTAATCTCATGGCCCTTCAGCTGGCGGGTGGCTTAACACTGTACAATTAGATGCTAGTAGTATTTTGATGTTTTCAAATATTTGTCTAAGTTATAAATCTGAATTAACAAGCTGATTTTACATGCAGCTCGTGAATTCACTGCCACTGTTAGTCTATGCACTGACAATGTCTTGCAATTAGCTTTATCGTGGTCATTTTCCCCAGAGATGACCAACCATTGGAATAGGTTCACGCTTTGATTGCTCCGCTTTGCCTTTTAGATTCAGGACACCCCCCCAGGGTGTGCTGAGTGAGTCACTTTATGTTTCTTATCTAACTTTCACTCATGAAATCTCATGGGATGTGGAACCCATTTTGAGAAACGTGTCAAAGCAACTCTTGAAATGTAAGGAGCTAAGCAATTAGTGTCTGATTTTCTCTTGGGGGGAAAAAGTTAAGGAAAGTTAGTTCATATATGTTGCAGAGGTAACTTAAAGAGATTCTGTACTCATACACTATAAAAACGATTTTTTTATTAAAAGCAATATATTCCCCTATAAAACGAAAAAAATCACTGCCGTCAAGTCGATGCTGACTACTCGTGATCCTATAGGGTACGGTGGAATTGTCCCTGTGAGTTTTTGAAACTGTAACTTGTCTTGACAGGAGTAGAAAGCTTCGCCGTCTGTCTTCCCACAGAGTGACTGGTGGTTTTGAACCGCTGAGTTGGCAGATTGCAGCCCAACGCATGACTCCTGCACTTCCGAAGCCCCTTGTATCCCTCTGCAGGAGAGTGGGATGCGCTCTCTGGGCTGCTAATGGCAGGGGCACTGCAATTTTCATTCAGATTTACAGCCAAAACAAATCATAACCTTTTTTGTTTCTACTTTATCAGATATATTTTTTAAACTTTTCAAAGTTAAAGCATCTTTGGAAATATATAAAGGAATGAAGAGTTTACCAAATGTTGTACATTTAGTAGGAAAAGACAATCTCAAGATATTTTTGTTACTTTCTTACACCTGGCCTTTTAGAATATTATTGGTTTCTACTTTTGTGGTGTGAATTTAATTAGTTTAAATATGTTTAAAATTCAATAGATAGGCAAGTGTCAGCTATGTGCCCAGTAGTGTGCTAGGTGCAACCTCATGGACATCCTTGCAGGCGCCCTGTGAGGAATTATCCCGGTTTTTCAGATATGGAAAGGGAGTCTCTAGACTCCCTTAGAGAAAGAAGAGAATAACAGCAAAAGACCTGATTCACCCGAGTAAGGGTTGTAGATCAAGTTATCTGACCCGCCAATCTATTATGCTTTCCAGTTAATTTGTAAGGATAAAATCTTGAAAACATTATGTTACACACATTCTGTTGGTGGTGAAAGATCAACAATCTAATTCATTAAGACTTCGTTGGTGCTAACTCATTAAAGGAAGACGAAGTGTATAGGTTAACACCATTGACAATGGAGTGAGGCAAGTGCGGGAATAAAGTCTGACTTCTAGGTCACAGAGAAACTTCACAACTTGGAGTCGCTTTTCTTTGTTTTTAACGTCTAAGCCTCCATGCATTCATCTACCAAATCGTGGTAATAAGACATTTTTTCCAGGATTATAGTGAGCATTGACTACACTAATGAATGTAGAACAGTTAGCAGAATGCCTAGCAAAACTCTCCAAACCAACTCACTGCCATGAAGTCCATTCTGACTCACAGCGACCCTACAGGACAGAGTAGAACTGCCCCTGGGAGCTTCCACGGCTGCAGTTCTTTACGGAGTAGAAAGCCTCACCTTTCTCCTGTGAAGTGGCTGGTGGTTTTGAACTGCTGACCTTGTAGTTAGCAGCCCAATGTGTGACCGCTGTGCCACCAAGGCTCCCTGAGTACCCAACAGATCCTAAATAATCTTGGTAGTAGTAGTAACAGTGGTGGTTCAGGAGCATAATATATAAGTTGCTCAAAGATACATATTTATCTTGAATGTCCTTATTTACAATCTTTGGTTCACACAGGCTGGTATGCTTCTTCCATGTGAACTTTACTGACACCTCACGTACATGGCTGCTTGTTTTAAGACAAGCCTTTAAGTCCGCAGACATGATTTTTCCTGATACCTAGACACTATCTGATTTCCTCACCATATTTTGCTCCAGCACCCATATCCTTCAGTGATCGCTTCATGAAAACAAGTGCCAAGTAGTGCAACATCCTAAGAATGAATTGTTCTTAGATTAGGGCTACAATTAAGTTCAAGATCAAAATCCATCCACATGACTACGGTCTATATACTTCCCTGGTCCACTTTAGAGACGTCGTTAACATTGTATTGGGAAATATAAATCATCCCATGGGGCATATGGTGAGTCCATCGATAGTATCGTTAATTTAGCCAATGGTATAGAATTTAGACTACTGTTTGGTTTTAGAAATTTTTATATGACATAGGATTAAATAGACTTGAAAAGAAAAATCTCAGATTTGCAAACATAAAACAGTGACTCATACATATGTTCAAATGTACCAATATAATCATTACCCTTTTAATTAATCATCCTCTTTTTAACTAAGCAGTGAGTTTTAATGTTTAACTTTCAAGTCTTCTGTATGTGATCTATGTTATTGCAAAAACATCTCAAATTTAAATTATAATCCTGTTTTCATTTGTTTCCTCAGATGATGAAACATGCCTGGTTTAATTATAAGCGTTATTCTTGGGGATTAAACGAACTGAAGCCCATATCAAAAGAAGGCCATTCGAGTAGTTTGTTTGGTGAGTAGACTGTGCTTGAGTTTCTTCATGACAGTTACTTCTCTCCATAGACACTGAGCTTATGGGTGGAGACGTTGGTGTATTACTCTGATCTTCCAGACCGTGTTGCTAGGAAACGTGTACACCTGATAGGGTTCTCTGCAATGACTGTCTTAGTGTGTCCTTCAGAGAGAGCAGTGACGGCAACTTTTAAAATACTGATGCCCTGGCTGCACCTCCACAGATACTCATTTAGTCCCTATGGGACCGAGCATCATGCTTTTTGGCTACCAAGGTGATTCCTAGGAGGGCAGCATTTGATTGGCAACAGTGACTAAAGCCTGTGTCTTTTTAGATGTGCTGACCACAACACATAGGGATCATCTCTCTACCTCAGTGACACTCCACTATGGTTCTAGGCTTCTCACTTTGGGACCCTGGAAGAGAAAGTGAGAATGAGTTCAAGTTAGATCATTTGTTTGAACTTCCTTTTCTCCTCTCTTGCATGTTTTATTACAGGAATAAGTGACTCTTCCCACAGTGGAGATCAGGGAACCAGGACACAGAAACCGAAGTGGTCTCCTTGGGTCACAGAGCCACCCAGTCCCTTCTCAGTGGGCTGGATATCAAACTCCCCCCATGTTTTCTCCCCTTTCTCCTCCTTTAGGCCACCGCTCTATTACTGTTCAACTTCTCTCAGGTTGTTTGTTGATCAGGTTCCCCTTTGGTAAAGATCGCCCATTTCGTAAAGGATACAGAAGAAAAGTTCTACCAATATGAAATCTAGTTTGCTACTGAAATGTGGGTTACCCAACATGAGTGTTTATTTGAAACAGATCAAATATCCATTTAATTGAAGCCATGCTTGGCTCTAGACCAAGAAATCAACCTTTCTTAATTCCTTAAGTCACTTTGGTGACTGGCCAAAGACAAGAGTAATGGGTTTGTTTCAGGTGAAACGTGAATATTTAATATTGCTGGGACCTTGAAATTTTATCATTTTTTATTTTCCTATTGTTATATCTTAAAACATCTATACAGAATTCTATGTTGGCTATTCCCTCAATAAAATTGTATTATACGATTAAGAAATCAGTTATATGATATACCATAATCTTCATTAAAAAGATCATTTGGTGCTGTTAAGACAAGTTAATACATTTATCATTTTCAACTTTATTAGAGTGTTAAAACATTCTTTATCGTACTTTTAAAAGCTATACTTTTGATTGGCATCTTCTATTAAAAACTGGAAAAACTAAAAAAAAGGAAAAACTCCCATAATCCACTTAAGAACTTGTTCTGTTTATAAGAGATTTAGGTATTGATATAAGGAAATGAAACATTAATCATTTAAATTATATTTATGTCACTCCAGCTTCATGTCATTCTTGACTACGACAAGATTTTCTTATACTAGCTCTAAAGTTGTTACAAAAAATACAGAGTTTTCTTTTCTACTGATGGAGAAAGCTTCTCCATGACTTACTGACCCTACTTCCTAGCCAGGTTCTTTATGTGTTGTGTAACTCTCCTCTCGGCAAACCTGAAGTACCTCACCACCTGGCTTCTTAGGGAGTGACTCTTACTTGGACATAGGCTCTTCTGTTTTGACTTTAAAAAACAGCTTATTCTGTTGTTGCTTTTTTTAATATAAAAGAGGCAGTACTAGTCAATTAGAATATTGTAAGTTTTCCTGATTATTAGCCATTAGGAATTTCTTCAGGACTGGTTCATTCTCATATTTTTTTCTCATCGGTTATGCTGAACCTTACATTTATTTCCCAGGGAGAGGTAGAGGGCTACATTATTAACTTGAAACAGTTGTGTTGTGTGTTAAACATTAACATTAGAAAGTATTGCAAGGATTCATCACTTCTCATTTATTTTAAAAATAATAACCAAAACTATTGCATGATTTCAGAATTAAAAAGATGTTAAGCAGAACTGAATCTACAAGAGAGAAAGAGAATATGTGTCTGACTAGTTATCCTCAGTGTGAAGCTAGAATATAAGAAATAAAAACAGTCAGATAAAGCACCAGGCTTAAAATGAAAATTCAAGGCATCAATAAAAATCTAAAGCTGATTCTCATATTTCTTTTTGCATACTTTAAAACATCCTTACCTGTCACCCGAATTGATAGTGCTTTTCAGAGAAACACCCCGCCAGTTGTCAGGTCGATTCTCGCTCTTGGGGACCCTGTGGGGGCCAGAAGAGAACTGTGCTCCACAAGGTTTTCAACGGCTGATTGTCCAAAAGTTCATCACAGGCTTGTCTTCAGTGGTGCTTCTGAGTGGGCTTGAACTGCCAACCTTTCTGTGGCTGTTAAGCTCATTGATGATTTGTTCTCTCCAGGGAGTCCATCTCAAAGGGTATATTTTAAAGGAAATTGGATGAAACAAAAGCTGTCATGAAAAGAATCCCCTAGTTTCTTTTTTGTTGTTATCCTTGAATAATCTTTAGAATAAATGTTTTGGGAGGATAATATTTTAATATTGCATTACTTAGGATTTCCTAATGATAATATCCCACTTTGGTATTTTAAAGGAATGGGTCTATAAAGTCACTTCCATTTTTTCCTTAAAAACGCAGTCCTAGACTATCCAGAACCCCAGTCTTCTGCAGACAGCGTAACACCCAGTCTTTGATGAGCCATTCATGGATCAGCAGCAGCGTGACTGTGAGAGCATCCCTGAGGGCCAGAGAGATGAACAAGCATGACCTCTGTCTCCTAAGGGTGTTAACGGACTAAAGGCACACATGCAATTCTAATACATAAGTGACGACTGCCAGGGGATGGAGGAAGGCTTTGTGTCAAGGGAGGTCAGGGAGAAAAACCACAGAGCTCGAGGCTGGGTGGGTGCTTAGAGTGTGAGAAATCAGAGGAGGTGGAATCTCATCTGGGAGTCATGGTTTATTAGAGCCATTACTGAGCAGTTTGGCATCACGTATGTTTAGACCATTTTGGCACAGGTGAATTTTGTATAATTACATTAAAATTAATAGGGGTGTACCGCTCCTTTGTTTGAGGCCCGCTGTTTTCTTGCTAGATAATATAATCACAAAGGAAAATTCTAAGAGATTTGTTTCTAGAAATTGGGAGAAACTTCAAAGATCAGAGCCTTGTTCTTTATTTACCCTGGGGTAATTTGTATTTGGGTTTTGGTGAAATTTTCATTTTTTTCTTCCTCTGAAAAGAATTTTAGACAAAGTTTAATATCTGTGCTCATTAATAAATACAGTATCGCTCACCTCCTCTTTTCCAAGACTTGCTCAGTTTGTGTGTATGTACCTGTCAAACTTTTTTTTGCAATCACGATTTTCCATTTTTTTTCAGGCAACATCAAAGGAGCTACAATAGTAGACGCCCTGGACACGCTGTTTATTATGGGAATGAAAGACGAATTTCAAGAAGCCAAAGCATGGGTTGAAAAAAATTTGGATTTCAATGTGGTAAGTTAAATAAGTGTTGTTCATTCAGTCTTCATAGGGCATCTTGGTGGCTCCAAGGCTAAAGCTTGAGAGCCAGCTGGAAGGTCAGAAGTTTTGTTTTTCTGTTATTTTATTTTTCCAGACCAAAAAAAAGACCTTTATTTAGATACAAATCTCACATGCCTTAAGTTAAACCACTTAAGTAACTAATCCAATGGCCTTAGATATATTCACAAAGGTGGACAACACTAACTGCAGTCAATTTTAGAATATCGTCATCATCCCCAAAAGAAATGGATTATTTTGACTGGGGAGAGAAAGGGTGGGAGGGTTTAGTTCTTAAGGTTATGTTCTTAAGTGACCGTGGGTGAATTCTGCATGGAGGCAGGTTATTGTAGTCTGGGCTCGCTCAGCAGAAACCTGTAATGCCATTTGTAAAGAGTACTTTCACCTGCTTTCCTACATGTGCCTTTCCAGGCTAGTAAAATACCTGTCTTTGGTTGGGGCAAATTAAAGGGGAAAAAGAAGACATAAATTTTCATTAGACAACTATTCTTGTCTTAAGTCCTACAGAAACCCTGTGAAATGGGCAGGCTCTTCACACCTGTACGGATCAGGAACCTTGGCTTCGCAGGTTTCCTCCACACTGCCGTCGTCCATTGGGGCCCAGTGCGCAGCTGCGGTCCAGGCACACAAATATGCAGCTCTGGTGCCCACACTTTGCTGCCCAGCCACGGGGCATCTATCAGTAGTCACATCTGCTTTCTTCTAAATTAGGGCTTGACATTTTGTTGGTCAGATATGCCAATCGATTAAAAAAATTGACAGTGTATGAATGGCATGTGTTTAAAATTTGATATTTCTATTGTCGTAGTTAGAAAGCACCTGAAAACACGTTGTATACTAAAGGAAAACTCCAGAATTAAAAATAGTAGACACTTCTAACACTTCTTTATACTTTAGATTTCCAAAGAACTGCTTGCCATTGATTTTATCTCATAGTGGACAAAGAGCTTCCTTTAATACAGACAAGTGTCAGCCCTGTCCTTTTGCTTTTGGCTTCTACTTACATGATCAGCATTATTGTAAACCTAAGATTTTGAACCTAGTGTCTGTTTGGTGCCAAGCAGGCGAAAACACCAGGCCTGTTGCTGTCGAGTTGATGATACTCATAGTGATCCTGTTGGACAGAGTACAGCTTCCCTGCCTCCCTCGGGCTTCCAAGGTTGTGATCTTGACAGAAGCAGACTGCTGCCTAAGTCTTTCTCCCATGGAGGTGGTGCAGGGGGAAAGCACTGCTCCAGTGGAGACAAAGAAGCCTATGGGACATGAAAAGCCCCCAGACACTTTCAATGCCCTCCCCATTCCTCTTCTGTACCCCACTTGCTATCTGCTGTCCAGCCCTTCACCCAACAGCCCCATGACTCCACCCCTGTACCTTATAAAATGCTCCTTGGTGGGGAGAGAGGAGCTCAGTCTCTAGGTAAGAGTCCACCAGGCCACATGTCAACACAGAGCCCTTCCCTTTGTTATAACCTGCTTGGCTTTGGCAATTCCTTCAGAGCGCCTCCAGTGACAGAGCAGCTGGCAGCCCCAAACCACCCAACCCCTGCTAGCAGCTGGATGCTTTAATGCCATGCCACTCTGTGTATTTGGTAAGAGTTTGATCATATCTGTAAACCCCTGAATTGCATGCATGCTGTATGTTGAAAATGGACAAAGAAAGAGGGCAACCCTACCACCCCTCTGCTTCATGGAGCCCTTGATCTCCCAGAGTCCACACGAGGGCACCGTTGTTGGTCACAATTAAGGCCAGCAAAACTGGATGAAGGTTTGGAGTAAAAAACATAAATTTTAAACATATTTTATTCTGACACGCCTAATTAATTACTCTTTATTTTAGAGCCCTCTGAGGCCTTACAGGGCAAGCAGATGAGCTTGTCTCATGCGCCGTGCAACCGAATCTAGAAGAGTAGGGAAATAGTCTTCCAATGTCAAAGGGGCCGTGGAGATCAGTGGGTGCGGTCCATTTCTAGTGAGGAGAAAGCGGGCCTGAGAAGCTAGTGCTTTGCTCAAGGTTATGTAGTTATTTGATAGGAATGACCTGTGGCTGCTGCGATGTTACTGAAAATGATGGGAAAAGCCATGGTGGAATGTTTATATTTACTTGTTCTCTTCTCATACTACTTTTGTTGCGTCCTGTTATTTATATGTAAATTCCAAACTGTGGGCTTATCCTCTGCTACAGCAGGTGAGAGAGTCGAGTGTTTCTCACTCTGTTCCTCTCTCCCTTTGCCCGTCATTCCATCCCTTCAGCCCTCCTTGTCATTTTTTAAGAATGAGAACAAGGTTTTTCCAAAGCCTACTAATGGAAGACAGGAGCATAGCGTTGGGATACTAGATTTTCTCAGTGCCCAGGTCCCTTGCTAATTCTTGGCAGTAATTGTTATTTGGTAGAGAGGGCAGAAGGCCAGATCTGGCATCTTAAAAAGAACTAGGCACAAGGCCTTTTAAGGTGATCGACAAGATTTCCTTTAAAGAAAGGGCAGTTGGCTGGCTCAAGACCACAGCCCAGTGACAAGAATGTGTTTTGTGTGCCTTGGGGACCCTGTGAAAAAGCAGAGTGAGTCTAATAGAGAGATTAGGTTATCTAGAAGAATAAGTTACTTGGTTTCCTTACTAGTAATAAAAAAAGCATCAGATTCCCATCATGTGATTGCTAAGATACTGAAATTGAGTTTCCTTGTATATTTAAATTTTTATTTTTGCTCTTTCAAAAAGATTGTATCTCATTAGCTTACAGACTTTCATGTGGAACATCAATTGAGAACTGACCCATATAATAGAAATCAAGATTTAAAGATAACAATATGTTATTATAATCCTGAGCCATATCTTTTAAATATGTATCTTAAAAAAAACATTGCCTCAGATCCCAAATTTGTCACCACACCTTTCATAATCTAGGAGTTCTTCAAACATATTTAGTGCAACTCTTTGAGTATTGCCATATTTGTCCTTTAATAAAGCCAATGTTATATTAAAACTAGTAGTAAATTTAAATTAAGGAAAGACACATTGTTTTACTCTCCTAATGATAAAATATAAAGCTCAGCTTATTGTCTTTGGCTTGGTTGTAACATGCCACCTATGAGAACTTGTGTTGTACCATGAAACCTGTGAATGCTGAAACTCAATGGGACAGCCTTGTTTTTCCAGGTTTCGCACGTTGTTCACCCTGGACAGGGTGCAAGCTGTCATTTGGGGTTTTTTAAATTGTACTTTCTTGGTGGAAAACAACCCTGGTGGTTCAGTAGCTTAAGTGTTGGACTACTAATCACAACGTCAGAAGTTCATGCCTACCACCGACTCCACAGGGAAACATGAGGCTGCTCCTCCCATAAGGATTCGATCTCTGGAAGCCCTGGAGTATTGCTATGAGTCAGAGTCAGCTCTGTGGCAGGGAGTTTGATTTGGCACATTTTTGCCTTTTTAAGGGTTCCAGCTTCTGCAGATTTTACTGTAGATATTTACCCACTCTAGCTAGAGATTCAGGTGACTACTTCAATAATTAAATTATTTGCCTTGTAAAAGTACTGGGAAATTTTTTCATTTATCTGAATGGGGAAATTAGAAAAACAGAAATAAATATTTTTAGGGATAACGCAGTATCATTCAAATTTTGAACATTTTTATCATTGTTTCTCATAAAATAGGTTAGGTAATAGTATGAAGGTATTAAAAACAATATTTATTTTATCAAAATTCATTACAAGGGAAAACTAAAGATGAAACTAGGGTTGAAATAATCTCATTGAGAGTTGATATATCCCGTGTTAGGAATGATTATGTTTATATATGAAATAATCAGATTGTATCACTTAAAGGTATAAAGTAAATGCTTTTATTAGTCTACACTGTCATTAACTAAAACTCATCTACTTTCAATTAAGGCATAGCTAGTTGATTTAATTTGCATGTTTGGTAGCACAAAGTTCAAAAGCTTTAATAACAGACATAAAATAAATCAGGAGGATAATGCATTCCCAGGGGCAAGAAAAAGATTGTATACATGGAGTTTAGTGAAAATACAAGTAGGCTTCAAAAAAATTGTAGAAAAAGAAGCCTATTAGCTTTTGATTCCATTTGACCACAAACTTCCTTAAGCCCCTTACTATCTGCAGAGGGATAAAGACATGGGCAGACAACCCGAAGTCAGGTCATATTCCAGTGGGTGAGTTTTCTGGCTTTAATGGGAAATATCCTGGACATGAAGAACCTAAAACGAATTCTTAGTCTCTCAGTCTTCGTGCATCCCTTAATTGCTAAGGACCTTCTGTGGACAGAGTACTTCCACTCATGGAGCTTAAAGTCTAGAGCAATCAAATTATCTGAGTTTCCTAAGGAAGAAAGAGAAGAAATAAGAAATGAGTAACCCCTGGTGGTGGAGTGGGCTACAGGTTGGACTGCTAGCCTCAGGGAGAGTAGTTCAAAACTACCAGCAGCACCAAGGGAGAAAGAATGGGCATTCTACTCTTGAAAAGACCTACAGTCTTGGACCAGTTTTACTCTGCCCTACAGGGTCATTGAGTCCTCAGAGGGGCTTTTTGCATGCCGGATACTATGCTTGGGTTTTTGTTTTTGTTTTCTTTTCTTTTCATAATTTTTCTCATTTAGCTTTTATGACAACCAAACAGAGTATGTGGCGTTTCCTGTATTTTTTATAAGGGAAGGGATTAAATAATATACTTAAAATCATGGAGCTGGTCCAGAGCTATGAATTGAACAAGGTCTTCGTAGCTCCATGATGCTGCCTTCTCTGGTAGAGGAAATAACAGTGTTGAGAGAAAAGCTCGTATAAGCAGCCAGAGAATTTGAACTCTTTGAGATTAGCTATGTAATCGTATTGTCACCGTACTCATTAGAGTCCATCCGTCAGGTATTCCATCAAGGTGTGGCGCATAAAGGAGCAGATGTCCTACTCACCTGTCCTACTTGCCAGCAGATGATGCAGACTCAGG